TTACAGTTTTCTCTTTTTGGAAGAGAAAGAAGCCCTTATATTAATGCCAAACAAAATAAGGAGTGTTTATTGGTCCATCTTATGCCCCCAAGGGGTAAATTTTTGATAAGGTATTCAGCTGAAATGATTGATTTTTCTGTTTCACAGATTAATAACTGTTTGGAAATTCCCCTTTAACCGTTACCAGGTGGATTTTTTGTTTTTTGGATCAAGCAATAGCACCACACAGTATTAAAAAGAGACAAATTCTTTGTGTCTTCCGGTTGATGAAAAATGTCTGGAAAAATACGAACTCTCAGACCTTTTCAACAGACCGAAGAAAAATGAAACTATACATTAGATTTCTCATATCCTGCTGTAGTTTGAAAAAAGAAACATGAGTGGGAAGAAATACCTCAGAGGTGAGAGCACATGCAGTGCACAGAAATTCTGATTAGGGTTTAAATGAAAAACATTACAGAGTGCGTCTGCGGATGTTAGAGAATAATGAGAAACAAACGCAAGCCAAGCATGCATACAGTTTAATATCCTGCAAATGTGGAATTATTCTTGTTTTTGTCACACCAATTTGCTCCTTCCTACCATTCATAATGAGTTTTCTTTTTGTTTCCTGCTTTGAATCACTCCAATCTTCCACAAACGGCACTTTGAAAATGACTGCAACTTAGCTTTCCACAGACAAACGCTGTTTTTTATCTCTATTGATTCAGTGATAACCATCTTAAAAGGGAGCGAGTGGGCAGAAGAAATTGAATGATTTCAAAACTTCTTTTAAGCAGAAGGACAGCAACTTCTATTAATGTAAAATTGAATAAGGTCTTCTGGTTTGCTCAGATCACTGTGACCTGATATCGCGTAGGAAAAAAAAAGATCTATGAAAGTGGAAAGCAAATGCTGGACATTTCATGTTTCTTTTTTTGTTTGTTTATGTTCTATTCCACAGTTTAATACTTTTAAACCTTTGGTTAACAGCAACACAAAAAACTTTCCTAAAGAAATGTAAGAATATTTTCACACAATTTAGGTAATTTCACCGCTACTTTCGCTTTACATAGTGCCCAACAATAATAAACACCAGTTGAACCTTTTCATATTTAATCACTTTATTTAGGGCCCAGCCACATTTCTGGATTTTAAAGATATTACGATTTTTTTGAAGGAGATATGAGACTGTATAGTCTACATTGAGATGGTCTACATTGTGTTATAATTACACTCATGCGTATCCAGGTAGGTTAATTTGAGCCAAATCTCATGTTTATCTATAGGTGGTGGGTTAGAAAATGTCCCCGCGTGATATATGATGGCTTAAATACATCAAGATATTTTTGGTCCATATCATCCAGCCATAGCATTATTCATACATATGTAATTAAAAATTTGTATATAATGTCTTAAAGAGGTCATATAATGATTCTATAGGGTATTTGGTGCTGGTCCTTAACCCCTAGAACCCTACGGACCCACCAGTGGGTCCAGCTGCTACGTGACCTCGTAATTTTAACAAACCCCCAGTATTGATGTAAAAAACA